CGCACCTTCGCTCCCGCGCCCGGGAGCCCTCCGCCCCCCAGTGTTTCCCCTGGTGCTGCTGGTCCCCCAGTGGACGGGGCACCTTCATGGCCGTGGCTGCTGGGTCTCCGCGGGAGTGTGGCCGGGGCAGCTGACAGCCCCTGCGAAAGCGAACAGGAAACCCTCCTTCCACTGACCGAACGCAGTTGGTGACTGACCGGGCTTAGAAAAGCGTTTAACTGGGTTTAAGTCTGAACGTGATAACCGTTCATGGGAAAAGTTGAGAAAAGCTAGAGACGCTGGCCCTTCCTCCGTGGGGCCGAGCCCAGGCTGCCCGTGTGCACGTGAGGGCTGCCCCTGTGGTTCCAATGGCGCTACAAGCCTTTGCCAACGAGGGAGAGAAATATGTCTCCTTTAGAACATCCTCCTCAAAGGGCAGCACTCAGGTAGCGAGGGCAGATTGTAGCTGTTTCTCTCCAGCTGGCTCTTCACTCTGAATCGCCTGCTCCACCTCATGTGGGTCTTACGTTTAGAAACGCTGCTTCGCTTTTCTAAGGAAGCTTTCGGGGACGGGCTGGGCCGCCCGCGGGACTGACCCTGTGCTCTTCCTCAGGAGCAGGCGCAGCTCTACCTGCGGTCGGGCGTGGTGTCCCCCGCCACCTTCCAGCAGCCAGGTCGGCAGGTGAAGCTGTGGGTGAAGATGGTGACCCCGCTGATCAAGAACTTCTTCTGAGGACACAGGTGATGCCTCCGGTGCCGCCCCACCCCGCACAGTGCCGGGTCGCTGGGGGCAGGCGGTCCCTCGGCCCCAGCGGGTCTGTTCGCTGGTCACAGTGTGTGTCTCGGGGCGTGGACGGGCACAGCGTGTGCGGCGCCCACTTCTGAATGAGCCCTTCCCCTCTGTCGGGTGCCTCTCCACCGAGTCCCAGGGCCGGCTGTGCGGGGTCAGCGTCACGGGTGGTTCCGTGTCCCCTGCTTGGAGCCGCACGTGGGTTAGAGGCAGGAGGAGTGGGGGAGGATGCCCTCTGCTCGGGGAGGTCCGGCTCGCCGCCCTGCAGCCATGGCTCACCAGGCAAGACCGCCAGGCAAGATCGTGGGAGCCAGACCTCGGGGCTGTGGCCCGTCTCCCTGGCACTGCTGTGCCGTGTTCCTGCAGAGGCGCGGTGTTCTCCGCGGCAGCTGGTGACAGGGCCCGCAGCGGGGGACTTGTCCAGGCGCCAGGGGGCCGGGCAGGGTGCGGCTGCCACTAGAGGGAGGGACCGTCCTCTGCTCTCACCCCAGCTGGCCCACCGGTCCTGGCCACACCGGGTTGGGGCGGGAACTTCGGGCCTTTGGCTTGTGGGGGAGGGAGAGTGAGGGGAGTTGGAGATGAGTGAGGGCTGTGGCCGGCGTTTTTAGCCTGGAGCTCTGTGTTTACAGCGAGGGTTCCCCTGGGTCCCCCTGGAATATAAAACCCCACCCCCACCCCCCACCATTAGACCATGTTGTGCCTGGTTACAACATCCGCAGGAACTCCTCGGTGTCATCAGATGCCAGAGGTGTTTGCAGTCCCGGTCGCCTTGTCAGTATTTTTATCTCAGTTCAGTCTTTTGCTGCCTCTGACTGAGGTCGCGCCCTGTGACTGGGGACGTGGCCTCTGAGTCTCTTCTAATCTGGGGGTTCCTTAATGTTTTACCTTGAAACTTTTTACTGGGCTTACTCATAGCATTTCCGTGTCCCCTTCTCCATGTCCCGGGCATTTATAAAAGCCCTGCCCCTCCCCCCGCGTCTTCGGGCACAGACTGCAGACGGGGGGCAGGGACGGGACGAGGTGGGTTCTGTCCCTGCACGTAGCCTGGCCGGTGTCACGGCTCCCTCCCAGGGACTGGCGGCTCTGACGTCCCCTCCACAGGCCCCGGCGGCTCCAGTGCTGGGCGGCTGGAG